GAGGAGGGACAAGTAAAGTGGACTTTGTTTTGGACGTCAGGTACCAGCTCAGCCATAGGGATGTGGAGCACTAAGTTGGCTCTTGGGGCCCTCGATTCCAGGACTTCAGTGGAACATTAGTGGTAGTCTGTCAGGACTACCATTGTCATGGTGGCCATAGCCTGAGACTCCTCTGCCTTTGGAAAGAGGAGGGAAGAGTGGAAGAAATATGTTTTGTAGTTTGAGTGCCAGATAAGCTGCAGTACAATGAAACACCAAGCTGATGCCTAAGGTTTTTTACTATAATCATTTCTGGCTTCTGGACAGCACCTCTGGACCTGCCTGGGGCCTGGTGGAACTCATTGCCCTGAAGGAAGGACGCAGGCCTGGCTGTCTTTTCTAACTGCTGATAATGGAGCCCCAGGACCCTGAGCAAACATGAACAGTAGCTGGAGAGTAGATACAGGGGACCTTGGGTGAGACTCAATGCTGTACTGGCTTCAGGTCTGACCCAGCACAGTCCTAGAGGAGACCCCTTCCTTTTGCTTGAGGAGAGGAAAGAGACCACAAGAGTGCTTATATCAAGCTACTCCCAGCCTCAGGTGGTTCAGAATAGAGAGACTTCATTTTAGAGGGAGATATTAAGTGAAGAGCACAAGAGTCTCTGCCTGGTAATATAGAAATTCTGGATCTTGTCCAAGGCCGTCACGGTGGTAACTATATGAGTCTTCAGGAACCACAGCATTACCCTGGGCTCAGGGTGCCCCATGTAACAGATACAGCTTAGATTACAGCTCTTAAGTCCTTTTCAATATCTGGAAAACCTTCCTCAAAGGACAGGTGCAAACAAGCCCATACTGTAAAATCTACAATAAATAGCTAACTTTTCAATGTCGAGATACAGAAGAACATCTACAAGTATCAAGACCATCAAGGAAAACATTATATCACCAACTGAACTAAATATGTCACCAGGGAACAATCCCAGAGAAACAGATATGTGACCTTTCAGACAGAAAAGTCAAAATAGTTGTTTTGAGGAAATGCAAAGAAATTCAAGATAACAGACAGAAGGAACTCAGAACTCTACCAGATAAATTTAACAAAGAGTTTGAAATAACTATTATAAAAAGAATAAAGCAGAAATTCTGTATTTGAAAATGTAATGGTCATAATGAGGGTCACATCGGAATCTTTTAATAGCAGAATTTATGAGGCAGGAATACAAATTGTGAGCTTGAAGGCAGGCTATTTGAAAATACTGTCAGAGGAGACAAAAGAAAAAGAAATAAGAAAGAAGCACACTTACAGGACATAGAAAAATAACCTGAAAAGAGTAAATCTCAGACTTGTTGGCCTTAAAGAGGAGGTAGCGAAAGAGATAGGGGTAGAAAGTTTATTCAAAGGGATAATAACACAAAATTTCCCAAACCTATAGAAAGATAGCTATATCTAGTTAAAAGAAGGTTATAGACCACCAAGCAGATTTAACCCAAAGAAGAGTACCTCGAGGAATGTAATAATCAAACTCCTAAAATTGAAGGATAAACAAAGAATCCTCAAGGAAGTAAGAGAAAAGAAACGAGTAACATCCAATGGAGCTCCAATAGGACTGGAAGCAGACTTTTCAGTGGAAACATTACAGTCAAGGAGAGAGTGGCACAATCTTGGCTCACTGCAACGTCCGCCTCCTGAGTTCAAATGATTCTCCTGCCTCAGCCTCCTGAGTAGCTGGGACTATAGGGGCCCACCACCATGCCTGGCAAATTTTTGTATTTTTATTAGAGACAGGATTTTGCCATGTTGACCAGGCTGGTCTCCTACTCCTGACCCCAGGCAATCTGCTCACTGTGGCCTCCCAAAGTGCTGAGATTATAGACATGAGACACTGTGCCTGGCTCTTATTGGGTTGACTTTCTATTATTGAGTTGTAAGAGTTCTTTGTGCGTTATAGATACAGGTCTTTGATTAATATATGTATTGTGAATGTATTTTCCCTGTTTATGGCTTGCCTTTTCATTTTCTTAACAGAGTCTTTCAAAGAACAGATTTTAATTTTAATAAAGCCCAAGGTCTCAAGCTGGAATTCCCTGGAAACCAACACTGAGTTGAAAATTAGAGTGCAGAAGGTATATGAGGTGCATCTGTTAGGGATGTGGGAGGGAAAGAAACAGGACCGCACAGTCTCAATGGTCTGCCTCAGCGGACCCCCTGGGATGTTCTGACAGTAAACTGACCTACTAGAGCTGTTCTGAGTAGTGGCAATAGGACCAGGTTTTAATGTCCCCAATGAACCTCGCTGGATGCAAGCTTCCTGGCGGATGGGTGTGCCTGTGGGTAAGGATGGGGAGTGTCTTCAGCCAAGGTAATCCCTTAGCGTCCGTCTGCGAGGGCTGAGGACTGTCTAGTGGTGGCAATTCTCACAACTGAGATCACAAATCTTTTATTTCTGAAGAAGGATCTGGTGGCAAATCACAGTGCCCGTTGCATGAAATGCATCAACGCTTTCTTGTACAATTCATGTTTTTTTGTGTCCCATCTAAGGAATCTTTGCCTACTCCAAAGTCATGAAGAGTTTTGTGATATTTTATTCTAGAAGTTTTATTTTTTTTGCTTTTACCTATAGGTTAACAAACCATTTTTGTTAATTTTTGTGTGGATTGCAAAGTAAAGGTTGACATTTATCTTTTTAATTATCCAATTTGTTCTAATATTATTTGTTAAAATGAATGCTGCTTTCTTTTTTTCTGTCTTGAAAGTGGTGAAATGTTTTAAATTTTTTATGGAGAATTAAGTTTTAGAGGAAAAAAAGCCATTAAAAAGAAGAATAGTGGGTTGAGCCTTTCCCAGCTATCAAAATGGTATGGTATTGGCAAAGGAATAGGTGAATTAGTTGATAAGGATAGATCAGAAACATGTATCAGCTAACAATAGCTGACATCTATTGGACACTGCCCTGTGCTAAGCATTGTTTTCAGTACTTTTCACATCTTCATGCATTCAATCCTCCCAACGTTAGTGTGTAAGATAATTGTCTAAAACAAAAATAGTAAGTAAAATGTAGTGGGTTTCAGAACATGAAAAATAAAATCTATAACAACCAAAGCCCCAAGGGGAGAGGAACTGGAAGCATAAAATTGTAGTCCTTACACTATATATGAAGTAGTATAGTATTATGCAATCTTCCAAAAGAGAACCCTGCCACAGGCATGGCTTTACTGGTTAATTCTACCAAATATTCATTGAAGAAATAATACCAATTCTACAGAAATTCTGGTGGGAAAACTATTTTGAAAGAAGAGGTTTGGCTGAGGCTGCATTATATGAAAAGATGCATTAGAGGAAAAAGGTACAACCTTTTTGTCTTCAAACTGGTTGGGCATTATTAGTCTCTACTAAAATCACAAAATTAGCCAGGCATGGTGGCACAGGACTGTGGTCCCAGCTACTCAGGAGACTGAGACACGAAAATTACATTCAACCCGGGGAGCGAAGGTTTCAGTGAGTTGAAGCCACTGCACTCCAGCCTGGATGAAAGAGTGAGAATCTGTTTCTAAACAAACAAACAAACAAACAAACAAACAAACCAAGACAAATTACCAAAGGGTCTTGGTGCCAAAGGGTCTTGGAGCTCAGGAGGTACAGGCTGCAGTGAGCTGTGATTGCACTACTGCACTCCAGCCTGGGTGACTGAATGAGACCCTGTCTTACTCCATGTACAAATGTTTAATGAAGTATTTTTGTGGCAGAAACATCCTGGAAGCAGTCTGTCAGCAGACGATCACCTGCACAACCTAAAGCCTGTCCCTCTTTCAGACAGATGTACAGCAAGAAGATAGTGGCACATGTGTGTATGATGACTGCTAGGGTGTTTCGGCTTGGGGATGACAGACCCCAATGCCAAGCCAAGGAGTAGCTCCCACTGCACAGTGTTCATTGTGATCCATGCAGTGCTTCAATACGAAATCACCTGTGCTTTTTCTGGAGAGGCATGAGCTCCACTGAGGTGCTGGTCCTAATCACACCTGAATTACCTGTGTGGACCCTATAGCCACTTCAACATGACCCCTGGCAGATGGCATGCCAGGTGTTTGTAAAATCGTGCCACATATGATGCTCTTAATGTACATGTTTGTTTGTATAGACTTGTGTGATTATGGAGAAAGATACAATGGGAATGGAGAACAGAGACATGAGACATTATTTCTCTACTTTAATTTTCTGGTTTTAGTAAACACATTTTATATTTGGAATTTATGAAATTTTAGTAAAAGAACTGTAGCATAAAATAACTCTGACAGAAGGTTGGTTTTATTTAAAAGGATTGAATATACAAGAAAAAAATCTTTGATGTAAAAAGTTATCTTTATTTTACTTGGACATTTACAAATGAGTGAAAATCAGCTAATAAAGGCATACTTAATAAAATACAAAATCCAATTCATAACACACCTGTTATCAAACTCTGAAAAGATGGGAAACACCTCATTTAAACATCTATGAGAAACTTACGGCAAACATCTTGGTTAATGGTGAAACATTTAAAATACTCCCATTAAAACCAGGAGGAAGCCAAGGACACTGCCATCAATTTACTGATTCCTTATTTAGCATTTTCAGTGAGTCATGCACTCTCCTTGTTTCTGTTAACTCCCCCTGCCTCCCCCCTACACACACCTTTTGTTTGATTCATCAAATGTTCTTTGATCCCCTTTTTCCTCAATCTGTTTGAAATTTTACATTCTATTCCAATTCATTTATTGGTTCCCAATGGGTACCTACACTGAGACTTAAAAATGTGTTTGAGTCTAGAATTTCATTGCTGAATATAAATTCAGCCACTATATCATTTCCGGGTGCTAAAAAAGAATTTCAGTAACTTCTAGCTCCTTCTGAATTTTCCCATGCCCCACCTGTCTATGTCAAAGTCTTCTGAAATTTTAATTCTAGGTCACCTATCTTTCTTCCACAATCATACTTATCTTGACTTAATAATACAGTTTCCTAATTCCCTTGCTTACTGACTCTTGTTGCATTCCACTTCTTCCAGGTTGTCTGGTTTGGTTTTTTCCCCGGCTGAAAAACATGACTTGTACTTTCACTGTGCATAACAAGTCCATTCAAATGGCCTTATACAGAAAGGGGGTTTAGAAGCTTGCACATTATAAGTTGTGTACTCTAAGTTCAGGGGAAACTCAGGCTTCAGGTCCAGTCTGAGTAGAGTTCTGCCTTTTCCTCCTTTTTCTGTATGCCATTTCTCCCTTCATGTGGCCTTGCCCTTGAGCTGACACCTCCTGCCTCCTTCTCTCCCCAACAATTTCTTTGATTGCTCATAGAACACTAGATTCAGAGTCATTTCCCCCTCGAAGCTGTGAGGATATTGCACCATTGCTTTCCACAGTCATCCATGCTGCCAGGCAAAGTCTAGCATCACCCTGGTTCTGCTTTCCTTGTAGGTCTCAGCTCTTGGGCAGCTTTTGGAATGTTCTTTTCACCATACTTCATACTCTCAACCGGTGTTCTTCTTGTATCCTGCTCAGGATTCATATATTTCTTCCAGTGGGAGAAATCATTAGCCATGATTTCCTTGTATTTTGCTGTCATACAAATGTTCTGGCTCTCCCGGGAGAGCTCCATGTTAGATGACCTCTGGTCCTCAGGACAACTGTTCTGTCGCGCTGTCCATCTCTCTCTTGCCTAAACATCCGGTTTTTACAGATTTGTTCCTCAGTCCTAACTATTCTGTGATTCAAACCAACAACATAACTTTGGATTCCAACAACCTTGTTTTTCATCCCAAGTATCTCTAATTGGCATTTAATATAAGCACAGTAAGATTAGGGGAGCTGCTGGCCTGTTTTACCAAGCATTGAGGAACTCCATGCATATGTAACTTTGACAGAAGGTACAAAGCAGGGACAAGAGGGGCATTGGAAGCAGGCGGACTATTGTCAGGACCCTGGGAGGAGGGCGTGGAGGCTCCATCCTGACAACACAAGGTGAGGGCTCTGGTTGGGATGGGAGGGGAGGAGTGGAGCAGAAATAGGGCTGGAGTTTGGGGGTGGGGGAAAGTCCAGGTGGAAGAAAGGGAGGCTGGGAACAATGTGGGTGACAGACGTCAGCATGCAATGTCGGCGATGAACACTGGGATCCCTTGCACATAAGTGCCGTTGGGGGTTTCAATGACCTGTAAAACAGCTGAGCCACCCAGAGCCCTAAACCCGATGCAGGGATAGAGGGTCAACATGGGCTGCCCGTTGATAGCCTCAGGCTCAGAGGCAGGGGGGGGGCTCCTGACGCCCCACCTCAGGATGGGCCACGTCAGGGTCAGGGCCTTCCTGCACAGTTCCAGGCATAGGAGCTGTTTCAGGAAAAGAGAAGGCTGCGGTCTGCCTGATTTCCGGTTCCCCCTGGTGGCCTGGCTCTCCATGGTGGTCCAGTTGGATGTCCATGTATGGTCCCAGCAAGCGTTCTGCCCCCTGTCTCTGGCCAGCGTCCCTGTGGGGCCCACTCACTCTGCCACGGCCTCGCCCTCGCCCTACCCGCCGGCTTCCTCCCCGCCTCTGGCCTCTCTCTGCAGGAGGAGCCAACTCTGTGCGAGCTGGGGGCTCCCGTCTCAAGGGTTTCACATAAGCAATCCGTTTTGCAGGTTGGGCTGGCTCTGCGGGCCCATGTGCTTCCACGGAGTCTTCACCATGGTCCACAGTAGAGCAGCCTGGCTCTGTAGGAAGCCCACCTGAGGCAAAAAGAGAAGCAGAGTGTAAGGAGATTGAATATGGGCTGCCCAGGAAGCCTTCGGGGAAGGGAGACGAGGTGAGGGGTTCAGGGAGGGCCCATGGGAACACCGGCGAACAGAATGAGGGTCAGCAGAGGCCTGCAAGGTGAGCCCTCAGGAGTTCTGTCTGCCCAGGGGCCTACAGCGCTTTCCATGAGCTTTCCATTGCAAGTCCTTGCAACAACTTTGTCAGTCGAATATTATGATCTCCATTTTGCTAATGAATAAATAAGTCTACAGTTCCCTAGAGAGATCTAATTGGAATAAAAATGGCATGCTTCCTGCCTTCACTGAGGTTCAACTTCAGTAGGAGAGACAAACAGAACACCAAAAAATGAATGATGCTAATGAGCGACCAGTTAGGAGGTGAAGGGTATCACAAGGGAGGTGGTTCTGGATCCAGAATGCCTGGGCTGTATTCCCAGGCAGCTTAATTTACCTGGGCATCGGTTCCCCTTTTCATAAACTGGTATAATACCATGCCAACCCCTAGATCCTTACAAGAACTGAGTTACTAAAAGTGAAATGTTTAGATTAGTATCTAGATCAAGCAGGCATCTTAACATGTATTGGGAAGGAAATGATCAAAAAGTCTTGCTGGAGGAGATGACATAAGCCAACTTGGAGAAAACAGTTTATGCCGGAAATGAGATTTTCTAAAAATATCTATAGCTAATATCCCTAGAGAGATAGAAGGAATTTTACCCATAAATCAATTATAGTATACTTTTAAAAATGAATACTCACAGACAATAGGGTTTTTTGAAATTGCAATTATGAAAGAAGAAACAAAAATCTCTATGGAAATTTGAGAATGAAGTTGAGAAGATCTCCCAGAAAAGAAAGCAAAAATCTAAAATGGTGGAAAGAAGGATAAATTATAAGAAAATTAGAGGCATACTGTCAGTGAGACATATCACCATAAAATTTCAGAGTGCTGATGACAAAGAAAATATTCTAAAAGATTCCAAAGAGAGGGAGAAAGAGAAAGAAAGGAAAGATCACATGGAAAGGGCTAGGATTCAACATGTCTCAAAAATCAAGACGTCTCAAAAGCAGCAGTTAAATCTAGAAAATAACAGAAAATGTCCTCGAAATTTCAAGGGAGATGGATTTCCCACCTAAAATTTCATATCCAACCAAAGTTTCACTTAAGAATCAGGAAGGGTAGAATGAAGATATTTCAGACAAGCAAGATCTTACATACTTTCCTTTCAATGGATGCTTTATTGTTATGCATCTGTCAAACTAGACAAGATTAAAAGTTTTAGAATACTTAGTTTATGAAGGCAAATGTTTTGGAGAACAATGTGGCAATAGCTGTAAAATTCCAATTCCTACAGAAAAGAACAAGGTGGAAGTACGGATTTACCATAGATGAAGATGTAGTGTGAGGACCTGCTCCACTACAGAAAAACAGTAAAACAAGAAGAAGAAAAAAAAAAAGACACCAGATTTGGGAAATGGAATACAATTATAAAAAGGGAAAGTAATTTCCCAGATGATGCGGAAGCTGGGAGCTGACTTACAGCAAACAGCCCAGGTTAAAGCAGGCTATGAGAAAGTGAAACAGATAATGCTTGATTGAGTTTGAATTTAAACAATTGTGGAAGAACTGGGTAACGAACTAGTGATCAGTAAGCCCATAAAAACCCAAGGCAAGTATTAAGTCCTGGGAAATTCAAGTTATGCAAGAAGCGGAAAGTAATCCTCCTAATATTCTCTCTGCTCCTGGGCAGTGGGGAGGAACAGAAGGTGTGTGTCCTGGGCTGTGTGTGGCATGGTGCTTGGGTGATTGGTGGTGGTGGTGGCAATGTGTAAACTACAGCTAAATATTCCTCTATCCTAGAGGGAAGACCGTAAGTAAACTCTAAAAGGAAAAAGAAATAGCAGTAGTGTAGGCATGTTATTTAAAGAGTGAGAGGGAATGCTGAAAGAATTGGCTACACAGATGGAGGTGGTGTTCCCAAAGGTGTGGGAGACTGAGAAGGAGCAGGAGCTGCTGCATTTCATAGCATGCCACATTTGCCTCTGTAAGTTCTGTAAGTCAATACCAAAGGTAAAGTAAAAATCCAGAAAAATTTAAAAAGAGAGTTGCAGACGTTTGATGTACCTTGATTAGAGGCCATGGAGAGAAGTCGCTTTGAAAGCCTTGGTTCCTCCATGAGCAATCTGTGGGAGGGGGTGGGGAGAAAAACACATCAGTAGAGTTAAAACAGAGCCTCATTTCCTAAGCTCCAGGCAGCCATACAGACCCCCACCACACACCCTCCTCTAGGGCCTCCAATGCCCGCAATCCTCTGATCACTTGGCTGCCTGGGAACCGACCGAGCCCACGGTGCACCCAGTGGGACTGTGTGAAGGTGGGGATTGGGTGGGGGGCTGTGGGTGTGGGAGATTTCCACACAGTAAAGTGTTTCCGAGGGGAAGCTAGTAGCCAGCAGGGATTGGCCTACAGGAGGTTCAATTTATCCCCGTTCCTACAGGAAAGCTGGGAGAGGGGAGACTAAAGTAGGCCTCCTGGAGGAATGATTCCTCCTCAAGGGAAGAGGGAAGGAAGGTGAGGACAGAGAACGGATTTAGGAAGACAGGGCTGAAAAGTCAAGGGAGTGGCCGTGGCCTTTCTAGGGAATGAAGATTCTGTCCCCAACTGCACCCATCCAAGCTCTATTCACCCCTCAGGGACACCCGCACACACACCTGATCTTCCTACAGCTCGCTCCAGAGATCTGAAAATTTGGAGACTCTTCGACCAAGAGAGGCCAAAGGAGCTGGAGTTGTCCACAAGTTCAGGGCTGTGGCTCTGAGGTCCTCCTCCTGCAGGCAGGCAGGCAGGCGGGCAGGCGGGCAGGCGGGCAGGCGGGCAGGAGGGCAGGAGGGCAGGAGGGCAGGAGGGCAGGCGGGCAGGAGGGCAGGGGGGCAGGGGGGCAGGGGGCAGGGGGCAGGGGGGCAGGGGGGCAGGGGGGCAGGGGGGAGTGCGCAGCGGGCTCTGGCTGGGAACCCAGAAGAAAGTGGACTGCTGGAGGCCCAGCACGGTCGCTCTTATATGGCAGCAAGGCAATCACGTAAGAGACAGGCGTGGTCAGAGGGGGGCCGGCTGGGGCGGGCCTGGCTAGGCTTGGAAGGTGCATTGGGCCAGTCCCCTGCCTGTCAAATGGGGCTCTGCTGATATGCCGCCATTTATAGACTTCAATGGTTGATTGATTAATCGAATCATTGAGAAACAATGCATAATTACATTTAATTGCCAGCAAAAGGGAGGTGTGGTGCCCTGAAACTGGCTAATAGGAAGATCTGATTAGATTAGATCTGTGTATGGTCAAGGAAAACACCCAAAGTGGGGAAATTTGGGCTGAAATCTGGAATATAAAATTTGAAATTAGTCAACCTGAACCGGGTTGGGAGAAGCAGGGAGAGAGGCAGCGGAGTGAAGAAAGTGTGCTGAGACCCAGACTGGAAGGGAGTCCGGCCCATTCTGGAAATGGAGGGGAAGCCAGGGCCAGACCCAGAGGTGGTGCCAGGTGGAGGCAGGGGCCACGCAGGAGCTGGTCTTGTTCCAAGGCAGCAAAAAACCATGGAACGGTGTCCTGCAGTGAGTTAACATTTCCAAAACGACCAGCCTGGCTGTGAAGGAGAGCCAACCCCGGGTCCACAGAATAACTTGGGAGAGGGAAGAAGGCTATTGCATCCCTCAGGGGTTGGGCGCAGGGTCCTATTAGCCTAGGACTTTGGAAAGCAGAGGAGGAGAAAGTTCCCTGGTGGGAGAGAAATTTACAAGAGAAAGCGAGATCCAGTGTGGACAGCCCTTGGAGAAGAGACTGCAGTCTTGGCAGCTGGTTCATTCAGACAGAGGTGGACCAAG